TGTAGTACGTATCAGTACTGCCTTCCTCTCATTGCCAAGCGACATTCCATTGTATAGATACCCAAGAATTTACTTGTGCATCTATCTGTTCACAGATATTTGAAATTTTTTTTAGTTTTAGGCTATGGCAAATAAAGCTACTATAAACATTTCTATATAATTGATGATAAGACGTATCGTACTGAAGTATGGTAAATTTCCCTTGGGTAAAACATGCTCAGGAGTAGAACAGTTAGAATACATGACAGGTATTTATTTAACTTTTTAAGAAACTGCCATACTGTTTGTCCAAGTGGTTGTACTGCGTATATGCCCACCAGCATATATGTGAGTTCCAGTTCCTTCATGTCCTCACCAACAGTGGGTAAGGTAAATCATTTTAATATTGGCCATTGTTAAGGCACACCTTGTTTAATTCTAACTCTACAAAAAAGATACATGATGCCCATGTCATAGGTCAGAAAAGTGAAGCTCTACCAATATTTTCTTTTCAATGACATAATTATAAAGTCTCTTCATAGTACACATTGTATATCATATTCTTAATATAAAAAAATGTCAAAAATGGTTATTTAATACGATAATTGAACTTCCTTTTATAGTTTTATGTCACACTAAAATTAGCACACAAGGAAGTTTTACTCCTAAGTATAGACTCAAATATGAAATAGTATTAACACTAAATATCTTTTATAAAGTCAAAGGGTCCAACCAAATTTTGTACTATAATCCTCTAGAGTTAGGCAGGATAAGATACCATCTTAGCAGAATTATCAGATACTAGTAACATTATGAGTATTTTGCATATCAATTTATCTCAAATGTTATTATGAATGATTCATTTGTAGAGAAGAATTTTATTCAATATTTAAAGTTTCTAAGGCCAACACATGGCACACTTTGTGCTCGTGAAATTTCACCTAGAATTCTAAAATTTGGTAAATATTATAAATAAGTTGACAGAAATGAGAAGGTTATAATTTTGCCACCTTAGTGACAGCAGCAACCAGGAAAATTGCAAAAATGTCGTAAGTACAGAA